TGGTATCCTTGATGATTTTTCACTTGTTTTCTTTGCGATTATTTTCAAAATTGAATAAAATTCCTAACCTGGTATTTGCTGAGCTGGGCGACTTCAAATTATTTGTGAACATTGACCATAATAACTGGGAACTTCAGGATACATATGACTCCTTGAATTTGATCCACTGACTGAATAACCAAAACAATACTTATTTAATATATAATCCCTTCACTGTTGAATGTATTTACTAATTACTGTATACACATAGTGTACAAACCCAGTAGCGAGAAATAACCGCACTATCTCGTATTTGGTGCTTTTTAAAAAAGTATATCAAGTAGAAGGGAACGTAATATTCTTGCAAGTGGTAATATATCGCCACAATAAATCATTATATTGCTTATACGATTTCTCAAAAAATTTGACCACCTTATGTAATATATACTTCTGTTATATGGCGTTTTAAAAAATGTTTTCAGTAAAAACAATATTTTGTAAAATAAAATCTGAACAGATGCTGCGAACAGGAGCATATTGAAACCAATTGAGATTTTATACACTATAAGAAGGGTCGGAGCTAACAACACATAGAAATATGATAATATTACGGGTCAAGAAAGGGTTAAGTGATGACTTCAAACGGTGAAATATCAATAGTAAAAAGAAGAAGAAGAAAAGAAACAAACTCAAAAGTGTCGTAACGTTTGACTCAGTTAGAGTATATTGATTAAGATAAATTTCATAGAATTCATGGTTAAATGTAGTTAATATGCTGAAATGCCAACTCAAATAAATGCAAGATACCAAAGGGACAATAAAACAACCGTACACAAGTGGAATGGTATTTTAACAAACAGTTGGTATTCAAATTGATATCAATTGCGACAACAATTCATAACGTGTTCCCTGACCCATCGATAAGCGTTTACACATGTCAATTGCTCATCTTTAAGCGTGTACACATTTCAAATGCCCATCGTATAACGGCCACACACGTCAATTGTCCATCGCTTAGCGTTTACATATGCCAATTGCCTATCGTTGGGCGTGTACACATTTCAATTGCCCATCATGCATGTCTCTGATGCATGATTTTTTATTATTTATTGTTTTGGCTTTTAACTAGCTGTCAGTAACTGCGAGTACTATCAAATCGTACTTTCTTTTTAATTTGACCTGTTGATACTATTTTTAATGCTTTTTTGTTATTTAATGTTAACATGGATCTTGTCTTTATACCAGCTTTGATTATTTGGAATTTAATTTACTACAAATTTTCACTTCTTCGTACTATGAACATCAAAATTATTTCATTTTTCCTTAGATGCTGTTCTTGGACCTGTACAGGAAGTTTTATCTAGCACTAATTGTATATTTTTATTGTTGATATTCACCCAAAATATACCAAGTGTTAGATTAGTTTTATTGATATTAAAGAAATTTCTTGGTATTTCTAAACGGAAGATTTTATACACACAGAAGAAGAAATACACCTAACAGCAAAATTATTTTCATTTACCTGTGTATAATATGACGCAGGTTTCTTCAAAAGTGATGATTTTCTAAAAAAATTGTTTGAAATTTCACAGTGATATCATACTTTAACTTTGTTTAAACCTGTTTATTTACTTTTGACTTTAATTATTTATCCCTTGTAATTTTTTATTAACTGTGTATTTGCATTCAGGTGTTACAGGTCAAAGTTATTTGTTCATTGTGTGTTAATTTACATTTTTTGATTGAGTTTAGCCTTCCAATTGATATTTTATAGTGTGTTTTTCTATGTTGTGATGTTATACTATTGTTTCAGAAAAGGGAGAAGGTTTGGTACCATTAAAACGTTTAATCCCGCTGCAAATGTTTGCAACTGTCCTAAGTCAGGAATCTGATTACAGTAGTTGTCGTCTGTTTATGTAGTTCATACGTGTTTCTCGTTTCTCGTTTTTATATAGATGAGACCGTTGGTTTTTCCGTTTGAATGGTTTTACATTAGTAATTTTTTGGGCCCTTTATAGCTTGCTGTTCGGTGTGAGCCAATGCTCCGTGTTGAAGGCCGTACTTTGACCTATCATGGTTTACTTTTATAAATTGTAACTTGGATGGAGAGTTGTCTCATTGGCACTCATACCACATTTTCCTATATCTATGTAGCGTTTACACATGTCAATTGCACATCATTTAGCGTTTTCATATGTCAATTGATACGTTACGCACATGCATGTTCACATTATACGGACTTCATTTACAGGAAACATAGGAGTTTTTCCAGCAGGCAATGTACGGCGTGTAATGTGAAAATAATCCTCTCGACGCATACGGTCTCGCACGATTTTCCCCAATCTTTGTATATCAAAAATGGTTTATAATTTTTGAACATAGGTAAACTACTGTTGTCTTTTATTCAACACAGAACTCTTAATCTTTTTATATAAATGACAAAACTTTATAAACATTTCCGTTGATTATTTGCTTAATTCGAGCAAAAATTTGGCATGTTTTATATATAATCTGATAGAAGTCACCTTTCAGAAAAAATAAACGATCATAAAAATATTGTTTGTTATGTAAAATAATGTAACTATTTATCTTTTCGATGTATAGAGTTTATAAAGTTATTAATGTATATGAACTGGTTTATTTGGCAAAACCTTTCGGAATGTTGTGTCGTCAATGATCTTCAACTTCGTACTTTATTTGGCTTTTTGAATTTTTTATTCGAGCGTCACTGATGAGTCTATTGTACACAGACGAAACACGCGTCTGGCGTACAAAATTTTAATCCTGGTATCTATGATGAGTTTATCCTTAAATACTTAAACCTGCACCAATAAGGAAATGTAAAATGATTGCCAATGAGACAACTTTACACTATAGACCAAAAGGACAAGGATGTAAACAATCAAAACTCATACCCCAGTGGTAAGCTGTAAAAGGCCCTGTCAAACAATGTAAAAGAGAAAAACAACCAAAACTCATACAACAGTGGTAAGCTGTAAAAGGCCCTGTCAAACAATGTAAAAGCGAAAAACAACCAAAACTCATACCACGTGGTAAGCTGTAAAAGGCCCTGTCAAACAATGTAAAAGAGAAAAACAACCAAAACTCATACCACAGTGATAAGCTGTAAAAGGCCCTGTCAAACAATGTAAAAGAGAAAAACAACCAAAACTCATACCACAGTGGTAAGCTTTAAAAGGCCCTGTCAAACAATGTAAAAGCGAAAAACAACCAAAACTCATACCACGTGGTAAGCTGTAAAAGGCCCTGTCAAACAATGTAAAAGAGAAAAACAACCAGAACTCATACCACAGTGGTAAGCTGTAAAAGGCCCTGTCAAACAATGTAAAAAAGAAAAACTTATACCACAGTGGTAAGCTGTAAAAGGCCCTGTCAAACAATGTAAAAGAGAAAAACAACCAAAACTCATACCACAGTGGTAAGCTGTAAAAGGCCCTGTCAAACAATGTAAAAGCGAAAAACAACCAAAACTCATACCACGTGGTAAGCTGTTAAAGGCCCTGTCAAACAATGTAAAAGAGAAAAACAACCAAAACTCATACCACAGTGGTAAGCTGTAAAAGGCCCTGTCAAACAATGTAAAAGCGAAAAACAACCAAAACTCATACCACGTGGTAAGCTGTAAAAGGCCCTGTCAAACAATGTAATAGAGAAAAACAACCAAAACTAATACCACAGTGGTAAGCTGTAAAAGGCCCTGTCAAACAATGTAAAAGCGAAAAACAACCAAAACTCATACCACGTGGTAAGCTGTAAAAGGCCCTGTCAAACAATGTAAAAGAGAAAAACTACCAAAACTCATACCACAGTGATAAGCTGTAAAAGGCCCTGTCAAACAATGTAAAAGAGAAAAACAACCAAAACTCATACCACAGTGGTAAGCTGTAAAAGGCATTGTCAAACAATGTAAAAAAGAAAAACTCATACCACAGTGGTAAGCTGTAAAAGGCCCTGTCAAACAATGTAAAAGAGAAAAACAACCAAAACTCATACCACAGTGGTAAGCTGTAAAAGGTCCTGTCAAACAATGTAAAAGCGAAAAACAACCAAAACTCATACCACGTGGTAAGCTGTAAAAGGCCCTGTCAAACAATGTAAAAGAGAAAAAACAACCAAAACTCATACCACAGTGGTAAGCTGCAAAAGGCCCTGTCAAACAATGTAAAAGCGAAAAACAACCAAAACTCATACCACGTGGTAAGCTGTAAAAGGCCCTGTCAAACAATGTAATAGAGAAAAACAACCAAAACTCATACCACAGTGGTAAGCTGTAAAAGGCCCTGTCAAACAATGTAAAAGCGAAAAACAACCAAAACTCATACCTCGTGGTAAGCTGTAAAAGGCCCTGTCAAACAATGTAAAAGAGAAAAACAACCAAAACTCATACCACAGTGGTAAGCTGTAAAAGGCCCTGTCAAACAATGTAAAAGAGAAAAACAACCAAAACTCATACCACAGTGGTAAGCTGTAAAAGGCCCTGTCAAACAATGTAAAAGCGAAAAACAACCAAAATTCATACCACAGTGGTAAGCTGTAAAAGGCCCTGTCAAACAATGTAAAAGAGAAAAACAACCAAAACTCATACCACAGTGGTAAGCTGTAAAAGGCCCTGTCAAACAATGTAAAAGAGAAAAACCACCACCTGTTTTCTACTACACTAATATATAATATGTAAACAAATATACAACCATTTTTTATAGAAATTATAAATATTTTTGTTTATGTATATAGTTTTAGTTGAAATATAAACAAGTCTAAATTGAAAACAACGTTCAAACCTATGATTGCGTTGGATAAAAACCGCAATTATTATTTTAGTTAAAATAGACAGTGTTGACGTTTTCTATCTTTTCTTAAAAGAAGACCTGATTTTGCGACAAGTTATAAACTTATATCAAATGTATATATGCATCGTATTAATTTATGAATAAATGGGTTATTAACCTATGTCCGCGACTAAAAACAAAATACATCTACATAAACAAACTTATTAATGAACGATGACACTATCGTTTACAAGTGAGCTTATCATCTTACTGCTTAGTAATTCCTAGGAAACCCCAGTAGCTATGATACGTGAATGAAAAATATTCAATAAAATACTGATAAGAAATCAGATTTGGATCATTCTTCATCTCATTTAACTCTTTTCTCTTTGAAAATCGACATCATTAGGAATGATATGGGGTTTTCGATGTTAGTGATATACCACCGTAAATAATCGGGATTGTCTTTCGCCTATATAATTGGTCTTCATTATATTATGCTTTCGTTTGAAATATTAATCTCGTAGAAAACACAGCTATATTATCTTAAATAGTCTGGTGAGGAAAGTGATGTAATGATTCGAAATACTATTTAATTCGAAGTGTTTTCTAGACGTGCCACATTATTACTATCGCGGCGACACAAGAAGTCATTTCGATTAAGTTTTTTTCTTACATATTTGTATATATAAAGGTGTATGACATGACAACTGTACTCTGTAGGGACACTTTTGGTTATCTTAATTCTAGTCTTTTTCAACTGTGGACTTGTTCAATGTGTTATTCTTATCTTTTTCATAAATCAGCTCATCTGCGACCAAACTTTGATAAACGAAACCCAAAACTTCTATATAATTTAACTACAGCCACTCAAGAAGTTATTTTGCCTGATATTCATGATGATCAGAGCGTGTCAGAAATTTGTAGTTTTCTTGATAAAACGAACTGTGAAAGATGGAAAGACTGTTGTACTGCTGCAGTGTCATGTTGTGAAAGACAAATCAACGCTTTTCCAACTTCAACTTCTGATTTAAAATGTCCCATGACATGGGACGGATTTGGTTGTGTTGACAGCACTAATCCAGGTACAAATTCCATCATTGAATGTCCGGATTTTATAGAATACGGTTTCTCGTCAGGTAAGATAGTTTTTCTTCATTTCAAAAAACTTATTTTTAAATGTGAAAAGCTTGAGATAATTATATGATGTTTATGCTTAGCTTCGTTGTATGTGACACTACCTATGCATTTTATAAGATTTAAAACTATTATGAAATGTAAAACGTGAAAACTTTCAGTTAAAGATATTTGGAAGGTTGTAACATTTGTTAGTGATGGCTGTCACGTAATGACGATGAATACAACCCCACAACTTAACATCGCTGTAAAGTGTTACAATGTAATAGGAATCAGCGATAAAAATGATCTGCAATATTATCGTTTCTGAAAACCTTATCTGCCGTGGAGTTATATCACAATCCCACAAAAGATGTCATTGCAAGACTGATTTAACATTTAAATTTGTTTAGCAGTTTCCATAAATTGCATGTTACTACTTTGATTGATCTCTATATAATATATGATTAGAGAAAACTGGTTAAGCATGCTAATATCTATTATGCACTTTAACATAATGCATTTCAGTAAGTTTTTGAAGTCGAACATATCAGTATTTGTCAGTTTTGGGCTTTGGCAACCGTTTTACGTCCATCGTCTGTCGTAAATATTTTCTAAAAAATAAAAAAAATTGACCCAACAATTTTAAGAAAAATAATGAAGCACTTTTATGTTTTGTTTAATGTTTTGATATGACAATCTAATGCATTAGATGAAAATAGTTTTTCTCTTGACCATAGCAATTTCAGGGGATATGTGACAGCGATATTTTCCTGTTTGTTTTATTTCGTTGAAATTCAAACTTTATCTAAAAGCAAGCGACTATTGTTCTTCAAATTGTTAGCTTACATGTTAAGAATTTAATCCATTTTAATCCTAGCATTGTCCAACTCTTGTTATCAGATATATGTTTTTAATTTGTATTAATTGTTTATAGCATTACGTGACAATTTCATTATTACATGTAGCTATGATTAAGTAAGATTACGTAATTCATATTATATCGTTTCTATGCGAATGGTCAGTTGGATACCAGCGGTCAAGCTGTACGGACGCCGTGCATTTACAGTGACATTTATTGTATTTAGTATAGAACATTCATTGGAATTACCATATGTTTTTATCTTTTTGGAATATTTACCGTTGAACTTTTATTGTAATTGTTTTGCACTATTGAGGAAGTTATATATAAACCATCGTGAAGCTTAACTTAGTTTTGTTGACTTTAGCCAGCGAGTTACCCCCAGAATTCTTAATATAACAGGAACGACAAAAACCCCTGTTATAGATATATTACAAAATGGCACACAATTTTTCATCTGTTCTGGTTTGCCCACGAAATCGATGACTGATTTTCCAAACTACACCTGATAACCAATCGTCCCTAACCCGACTGGGGCCCAAACAGTCGATAACGTTCTGTAAATGACGATGGTCTATCTAACCTACTGTAACACTTTACTAGAATCATCACAATATACATTGCAGACTTGGGTGTGACCTTCCGCCGAAAACCTACACTTAAGTAATCATCACATTGAAAAATGAAGATGTGGATGTGACGTCTTCCGGAGAATCACAGTTTTACAGAACTGTATTTTAGCTCACGTGGCACAAAGGGCCAAATGAACTATTATTATCACTTGGTGTCCGTCGTCTGTCGTCCGTTAACTGTTACATAAATGTCTATGAAACTATTAGGCCAATTAGAACCAAATTTTACCGCAATCATCCTTGGGGTATCTAGTTTCAAATAAATTGTCCGATGATCCCGCCTGCCAAGCAACATGGCCACTGAGACTAAAAATAGAACAAGTGGGTAAACCCGAGTACAATCCAATATTGTTAACACCCTTTTGGGTAGAAACCTATGACGAGGCAGACATGTTTAGAATGTAAAGATCTGTCTATTGAAAACCAAAACTGTCAGACAATCTCCTTAATGATCAGTAGGACAAGATCTACAAAAAGTCAGCATGACCGAAATTGTCATAAAATTATTCAGTGTTTTTTTTTCATATTTGCATATGATGACTGAAAAGTGCGCTTCCACTGAAAACATGGCAATACCGTATATTCAAAACCTTTTAAGGAGTGTATTATCTATCGATGCAATACACCAAAAGCACTTAGAATGTGTGGTCTTTATTAGATATTTATTGCTCTAAAATCATATGTTATATCAAAATAGCATGTGACCGTCGATTAAGAAGTACTACAAAGTTATTATCAGGTAGCTCGAAATTTGAGTTTTTTACGTCACACAATGATATAACATTTGTGCCGTTCATCTTTTTCAGACAAATATGAAATTTTCAGACATTTACTAGCAAAATCTGTTGATGTGAAAATCTTATATAGAATATTTAACGAAATGCTGACGGTAAAAACAATGTTTAGTCAGGTAAATATTTCTGATAAAGGATGATAGGTATTGACAATGCACCTTCCCTAGCTCTTGTTTTTTTTTATCGACGTCGAGGTCCTTTAAAGACAAAGAATACGAAACTGTCAATCAATGAAAACATTATTCCATTAATTTCAGTAGGATTTCGTTTGGCCATTCATAGACAAAACTATACTGATTCATAAATTGCAAGGCATGCTTTATTACTTGACATGAATATTATAACGGAGAGGACAAAGAACTGTTATGTAATCTAGATAAATGCATAAATTATTCTATCTCTTTTTGTTGTTGTTATTATTACTTTACTTTTGAATACATAGAATTTGTCTTAATTTTATTCAGTGCTATTAATTCGTCCAAAGTTCTATGGTTTGTTCTCTAATCAGATTGAACAGATTAAACCGAAAGATATATTTGGATCTATTTCGATATCAACATATGCAGTATAAAATTGATTGTACTAATCATTACACATAATATTATGAATAAAATATGATAATTTTAGATACCATTAGCGCTATATTATAGAGTAAGTATTATCAGCAGTTACTTTGAGCTTGCTTTCAGTAGCTGACATTTATGCCATTAGTGAAATATAGTATTGTTTTATTTGTTCTCGTGTCTTTGTCGTTTATCATACCGATTTAAAGTATATTGGGAAAAGTTTGTAAAGATACAACCTATCTGACATATGGTTTATACACTTGTTTATTGATAAAGAATGCTAGTTGCCCTCAAGCTATTATTTGTGTCGTTTGGATGCTATCCCATTGACGTTTACCTCATATTTACTTTTGATCAAATAAAGAAAAAAGGAAAGATTTATAGTAATTCATGTATTTTGATAAAAACAAAATGGTTCATAGAATATAACAATTTCAGTGTATAGAACACTGTATACATATGGCGATTACTTTAATTTAATCAATTTGGGAACGAAACGACACGAAATGTTGTATTTAACAATTTCCAAATTAGATTCCGTACTTTTATTTGTTTTCAATCTATTAGCAGGTTTGGTAATCAAACATACAGATGACAGTGCCCATATATCAGTTTTAATAGGAATAATATTAAAGCAGGGTTTCTTGTCTAAATAGCTGATACATCATTATGCAAGCTTCCGTTTGAAAAAAAAATGTTATTACTGGAGTTAACTTTTCTAATTATGTAAATTGAAAGCACGAGATCTCTCATCTTACGTGATCTCGTGCATAATAGACACAATGTATTCATCACAGAACACTAATTAAATATCTAACCACTATGTTTATGGCAACATTTGACACATGATATTTTTCATCGTACATGTACTGGATAATTCAACTATTTTGATTTGAATCAGAGAGTTCATAAGATTTGATTAATACATAATTGGAACGATCCTGGTTTGCATTCGCTACAATATAAAATTTTCTTAGAAAATAAAAAGAATAATTATAAGACAAGACCTGAATTACTGTCACAGAAATTAAGATAATATTCCACAAAATCACAAGAAGTAAATCCAAACACATGAAAAAATAAATCAAGTACCAAATAATGGCGGAGCATCATTATCCTTATTGCCAGAACTGTTAAAAAGACATGAATGTGAGTAGCTTTAATAATGCACAATACATTTAAATAGATACTTACATAGAACTTTTATCATAACGCTTTATCAGGATTTAACAATCAAACCACACAAACTAGATAATAAAAACGGCGATTCTTCTATAAAGTCAATAGTGGTATGATATTTATTATTAGTTAAAATGACAATACAATTAAAACAGTAATAATGTCTTGCCGAAATACGGTCACCAAAACACAATGAAGACACGAAAAACTTCGTTTGGTGGATCTAGTTTAAGCTTTTGATAATTTAAGGTATCTTTTACGTTAATTCAAATTTAATATATTTGTACCTTCATCTCTTCACGGTACTGTTGTGAACTCAGACAAATAAGAGAACCACTTCATTCAGTAAATACAGGGATTATGTAATTGTAATAGAATTAATGCGTTATGTAAGACGCCAATGCATGCATATTCTAAGTCATTGATTTGATTTAATGTTTTCACATGTTATTATTTTATGTCTGAACAATGACAAAAATATTTCCAAAGCGTTATTTGGTGCAATATCTAGGCCACATAATGTTCAGAAGACATGTAATTCAGGTTGACTGCATATTTTCATGCATAGAAGACAAATGTATAAATCAAAATCTCAGTTTGATGTCTGCGAATGAATTGTTTTTCGCAGGTTTAGGTCTGATCTATAGAAATTTTCAAGTGCAACACGAAATAAATAAAAATCAATAGAAAAAAAAATAATTAAAGAGTGTAAATATTCTAGTAAAAAAGGATTTGTGGTGGTTCTCTGTTAACAAATAGAAAAGAAAAACACAAGAAAACACCAAAAGCAATCAAAAACATTACAGGAAGAAAATACACACAACATAATGGCCATGTAAAAAAGATCACCAAACAATACACCGAAAACATAATATTGACAGGTATCAAAATGAAATTTTGATTTATAAAAACTAATCCAAACAAACAAAAAAACCATGGTAAATTCATGAGCTCTAGAATAGTAAGTAACTCCTACTTCATTAGTGATCC